AGCAGACATTTATAATATTCCAGGAGGATTGTGAATCTTCAAGTGACACACTGTCAGTTCTTCTTCTGTATTTCTGGCTGTTGTTTGTAGACAATGGCTACATTACAACAGGATTATGTGTCTACCATGGCATTGCACTTAAAACTAGAACTTGCATTAGGCGCTGCTATTGCACTAATGATTATTTTAAAAACTTACGATTACTATGTTTTATGAATTTTCATTCATGTAAATGCACTAGCTAATTCATCATGTGACATGGCTTTTAACCTCATCCTTTTGTAATGCATTTTATCATCTTGTATTTCTGTGTCCATTCAGGACAACTTACAAAGAATCAGGACTGATGAGGTCTGGCAATTTTTCCTACTTCTTATTGTACCATTTAACGTAGCTTCTTGTCATTTCCTTGTCCAAACAGTCTTCTGATCTTCAACCAAAAAAACCTTTGATACAACTGGTTGTAACATGAGTTGTGTCATTAGAAACTAGTACAGTTAGCCTTCCACATTAACAGGATTTATGGGCTGGGAATTATTGCGAATGTGGAAAAACTGTGACTATTGCTATGGGTGAAGCAAAGCTGACGGATGGGGTGGGGTGCCGCTGTGCATTGTCTGAAACCTGGGGAAAAGAGTAGCAGTTATTTCAGTTGCCAACTACCCCCTACTAATGCCTCCTAGTTTGTAGACTTCAGTGGGGATGGTTTGATGACTGAAATTGCTCCTTCTCCACTTACTGTGGCTTCAGGAAAGGTACAGCATCACCATTCCACCTCTCACCATCCCTCAAAGTCTGCTGGCTTTGGTTGGTAATGGTTGGTGACTGAGATTGTTACCATGCCACTCCCCACAGCTTGCCGACTGCTCCCCAAAACTTGCTGATGTGTAGATTTCACAGGGTGACTGGGAAACCCTTCACTGTTTCCTCACTTTCCCAAAGTTATGGGGAAAGTGTAAAAGTCGGAAAGGGCTTGCTAATAGGGGTGTGTGAATTGAGGTTTTTTAATTCCACTTTCATTTTGAATTTTGGGTGCCCTTCATTCTGTTTTTGGGAAGATTCCAGGAGATTTTGGGGTGGGTGGGTTCCGATTTGTAATTCGAAACCCTGAGTTCTTTTTCTGTTTTGTGAAGAATATTCCCAAAAACAGAACCAGACGGGGGGCACCTGCAAACAGAATGAAAATAGAACAGAGTCTGTGCCATTTTGCACACCTCTACTTGACAACTACCCTGTGATGGGCTATCTATTGTCAGGCTTCAGGGGACAGTTGACACGTCCCTCACTACTTCTATTCTATTAAAAAATTGAGAGGAATAATGCTGCAGTGGTAAACTATAGAGACTTTTAGACTACACAATTACAGTACTATGATTCTACATTAGCTACTGGGGCTGCATTCTGTGGAATCCTGGGCTTTGTAATTTGGGCCATCACTAGACCTTTCTTCAGTTATCATAGTGTTATAATTGTGTAGTATCAATGGGGGCTATAACAGCACTTTCACATATTTCCTTAAGGTAAGTCCCTCCCTTTGGGTTAAAAACCCCTACATTCACCCTCTTTTGCCATGGTCAGCACCACTACATCTAAGGATCTGATATGGATAGATGTCAGAATCCGCTTCCTCAATCTCCCACAACCTAACATTCTATAGATTATTTATTAATTCTATTGATGCACTTTCACCATTGAGAAACTACCCCCTACTCATCAAATCTACCATCCGTTAGATCTAACCCTTTTAACTCCACAAGCCGCCATATTTCCCAATACAACAAGTTGTTGGCTTTTTTGAGCGGGTGTTATTCCCCTTGTGCATCTCAGTTTTCAGTATCTACTCTCTATAATACAGTCAGGCATGTAGCCGGGGGGGGGGGCAAGTTGTTGGCTTTTTTGAGCGGGTGTTATTCCCCTTGTGCATCTCAGTTTTCAGTATCTACTCTCTATAATACAGTCAGGCATGTAGCCGGGGGGGGGGGGGAGGGGCTGGGGGGGGGGGGGGGGGGGGGGGGGCTTCAGCCCCCCCCCCGAAATTTTCATGGTGGTTCGCGAAAAGGCCTTATTGGTGCATTATTTAAACAGTTATGTTTATTCATATCATGATCTGATCACCATACTCAATATATCCCATATGCATGGGGGTATTGGGGTAATGATACAAAAGGTTTGCTAGGCTAGACCCTCTTTCACTCAGACTCAGCCCCCCCCGAAACTCAGCCCCCCCAACCCCCCCTGAAAAAAATTCACCCCCCCCCCCCGAAACGAAATCCTGGCTACGGGCCTGAATACAGTGGTTCTCAACCTGTGGGTCCCCAGGTATTTTGCCCTACAACTCCCAGAAATCCTAGCCAGTTTACCAGCTGTTAGGATTTCTGGGAGTTGAAAGCCAAAACATCGGGGGATCCACAGGTTGAGAACCACTGCTATAAGAGAACTACTTCATTTTCAAATGAATGTAACAAAATGTTAAATCTATTTTAGGACTGGAAGTCGAAACAAATTGTACTGCAGTGAAGAATGTAAAATGTAAATGTAGACCTGATTTCTTCTGCAATTCTCCACCATGCCAACACTGTGATCCATGTGATACGTAAGTTTCCTGAACAATAACTAAAACTTAAGAATTAGAGATTAGTTTAAAAGTAAAGTGCCCAAAGCATCCCTAAATCGCATCTTCCATCAAACCTGTGGATGTGCCACCATTTTAGAAGGTTCTACTGTTCTATATAATTGATTGTTTTAATTGTTATAACTGTTTTAATTGCTGTTTATATATGTTTATCTGTACTATTGTGTAGGCATCGAATTGTGCCTTTTGTAAGCCGCCCTGAGTCCCCCCCTTGGGAGTTGAGAAGGGCGGGGTAGAAATACGCGAAATAAATAAATAAATAATAAATTTTACACAGTATTAATCTGCATGTGAGCTAAAATTAGACACATCTTCTTCAATAGTCCCTATGCACAACACAGTTGAAAACACATCATTATAAAATATCGTGTACAAGAAATGTATTTCTGTGAAATACATATATTAAAATACACAAAACAAAGATTGAAATAAAGAAAACACAAGACATAAGTTTAAAATTCATAGTTAAAAATTCACTGGGTAAGCCTGCTGGAAGAGAAAGGTCTTCAATTGTTTCTAAAATTCTGACAGGTGATTTAGCTGTCAGAGCTCTTCCGACAGATCATTCTAGTGTCTTGAGGCAGCTGATGACAAGTGACAGTCACCAGTCGGGTTCTGGCTAGTTGGAGTAAGAGCAGATTGGGGCAGATTGTACAGAAGAAGGCAATCCTGTAGGTAACCTGGAACCAAACCATGTAGGGCAGAGGTCCTCAAACTAAGGCCCGGGGGCCGAATACAGCCCTCCAAGGTCATTTACCCGGCCCTCGCTCAGGGTCAACCTAAATCTGAAATGACTTGAAAGCACACAAACAATAACAATCCTATTTCATCAACCAAAAGCAGGCCCACACTTCCCATTGAAATACTAATAAGTTTATATTTGTTAAATTTGTTCTTCATTTTAATTATTGTATTGTTTTTAAGTGTTTTTGCACTACAAATAAGATATGTGTCGTGTGCATAGGAATTCATTCATGTTTTTTTCAAATTATAATCCGGCCCTCCAACAGTTTGAGGGACTGTGATCTGGCCCTCCGTTTAAAAAGTTTGTGGACCCCTGATGTAGGGCTTTAAATGTTTTTACTTTGCCCAGAAACTAATTGGCAACTAATGGAATTGCCTTAGTATAGGAGAGATACGCACACTCCTGGGTGTTCCTATAACTATTCTGGCTGTTGTTTTGAAGTAATTGGAGTAATGTAAAGTGTATTGCAGAAGTCCAACCTTGAGGTTAACAGTGTGTGCACCACAGGCATGTAGCCGGGGGGGGGGGGGGGGCTTCAAATTCTCATGGTGGTTCGTGAAAAGGCCTTACTGGTGCATTATTTAAACTGTTATGTTTATTCATATCAAGATCTGATCACCATACTCAATATATCCCAAGGAGTATTGGGGTAACGATACAAAAGGTTTGCTAGGGTAGACCTTCTTTCACTCAGACTCAGCTCCCCCCCCCCCCGAAACAAACTCAGCCGCCCCCCAATCAAAATACTGGCTACGGGCCTGGTGCACCACCATCTTTAGGTCCTCCAATTGTAGGAAGGAGCACAACTGGTGTATCAGCTGAAACTACTTTAATCTCCCTTATCCAAAAATATAAAATACCCCCAAAGCCAACACATTTTGTTGTTGGCCACCCACATTTGCCTTTGGGGAAAGGGAGCCAGTCCAAATGTCCAGCACCTGCTGAGCTTTTCCTCAAGGAGCCTTGATAGGAGGAGAGAGAAGAGGAGGAAGGGAGAAGGACTCCACTTGCACAAGACTCCTCTAAAAGCAGTTAATTTTCTCTCCCTTCCTGACTATTTTGCTTAAAAAATGTAAAATGTACTGCCAGCCTGGAAAGTACCTGGGACATTTTTGACAGGGGATCCTCCCCTTTCCATTCTTCATTTCCACATCAGAGCTCCTCGAGAAAAAAAACAAACCCTCAGCACTGGAAATGTGAGTAGCCCCCTTTCCCCCAACAAATCCCACTTTCACTATGTATATGCAAATACAGGTCTTCCAACATAAATAAAAATGTTTGAGTTCTAAAAAAAACAAAACTCTTGGCCTCAAGAGTTTGGGGTAAAAGAGGCTCAATCCTATCAGGAAACACCTAATCTATCTTTCCCAGAAACACAATCATTTTCAAGCACTAGGTGGCATACTACCTCTAAGAATAGAACTATATATCCTATTGCAATACAATCACTGAGATTTTTTTCAGAGCAGAATGCTTGCAGGACACGCTTACATTATCCCACTTTCCTTAACAGAGTTAGTTGAATTGCTCCTTTCTTCCACTCATAATCGAGGTAGTTTAAAATGAGATTTGTCTAAATCCTGATGCAAAATAGCCTGACCTCATATCTGAGATACAAAATAGACTCCATGATTTCCTAGACTTAGCATTTTCTTGAGTGTCAAGGCAATTGACACTTGAGTGTTCAGGGCAATTTAAACCGAAAAACAAAAAAGAGCTTAAATGCACATTTTGAAAGAAAATGCTAATTTAACCACATTCTAAATACATAGTATATTTAGAGTTAAAACAATGTGGAAATGGAATTATGACTATTATTATTATTATTATTATTTATTATTATTATCTTTATTTGTACCCCGCTAGCATCTCCCGAAGGACTCGATGCGGCTTACAAAGGCCAAGACCTCAAACACAATACAACAATACAATACCAAAGCAAAATAAAACAGTTAAGCAGTATAAACAGCAACAATAAAACAATACATCAAGACATTATAAAACTGGGCCAGGCCAGATTAATGGGTACAAGATTAAAAAGTGCTGATGTGGCAGGAGGTATGCAGGATTATAATAAGTGCAGTGTGCGGTGTGCAGCAATCTTAGTTCTACTAAAGTGCTTCTAGGACTTGGTATTGGAGATTCCTAATCTGAGAAGGCACATCGGAACAGCCAGGTCTTCAAGTTCTTTCTGAAGACTGCCAGTGTAGGGGCCTGTCTAAGATCTTTTGGGAGGGCGTTCCAGAGTCGGGGGGCCACCACAGAAAAGGCCCTGTCTCAAGTCCCCACCAAGCGCACTTGTGACGCAGGCGGGATCACGAGCAGGGCCTCTCCAGATGACCGAAGTGAACGCGTGGGTTCGTAGATGGAGATGCGGTCACGCAGGTAGGGTGGTCCCAAACCGTTCAGGGCTTTGTAGGTAAGCACCTGCACCTTAATTGGGCTCGGAAAATAAACGGCAGCCAGTGGAGCTCCTTAAACAGCAGGGTTGACCTCTCTCTGTAAGGAGCACCAGTTAACATCCTGGCCGCTGCCCGTTGGACCAGTTGGAATTTCCGAGCCATTTTCAAGGGCAGCCCCACGTAGAGCGCATTGTAGTAATCCAATCTATAGGTGACCAAGGCATGGACCACCCCGGCCAGATCAGCCTTCGCGAGGTACGGTCGCAGCTGGCGCACACGTGTCAATTTTGCAAAAGCCCTCCCGGCCACCGCCGACGCCTGAGCCTCAAGCGTGAGCGATGAATCCAAGAGGACTCCCAAACTGCGGACCTGTGACTTCAGGGGGAGTGTAACCCCGTCCAACACAGGTTGCCACCCTATACCCCGATCCGGTTTGCGATCGACCAGGAGGACCTCTGTCTTGTCGGGATTGATCTTCAGCTTGTTCCTCCTCATCCAGATAGACTACAACACTTCAAAGTAGCATGAATCAGAAATAGATTGTCTTATTTGGAATATACATTGTTTGCTTAGGCTCAGTGATGAGGGAAAGACAATGACAAATAGAGTTGTGTTTTCGGAGTAAAACCTTGCCCTGTTTCTTGTCCCAGCTTTCGTTGGGAGCCCCGATCCATTTTTGTGAGCCTCCCAAAATAGGGAAGGTTGTTTTTGGTTTGGGACCCCAAAAATTGGGGCTTCCCACCCACTGGCTCCCCTTCCCAGTGTGTGCTTCTGTTCTTCTTACCTGGCACCTGCTGTTTCTACTCTAGAGTAAGAGGCGCTCGGCTGTACGCACTGGCAGGCACACACACTTACTGGGGCTGCCTGTACACCACACCACACATGCACTCTCCTTTGAAAAAGAGAGTGTGTACAGTGAACTGTGCAGGCAAGCCTATCATTCTAGAGTAAGAGGCACTCACCTGCAGGTGCGCTCCAGGCCTACCTGCATGCCCTGGCACACATGCACTCTCTTTCCAAGGCAAGGAGGCAAGTGCTGCTGCACATGAAAGTAGCCTTTCATGTCAAGCAGATTTTTGTGCGAGGAGGGGACTTCCAATTTTGTTCTCCCGAAGAAACGAAAGAGACAAAAGAAGCAATATGAATGGCACGAATAAATTTTGTGCACAACCCTAATGGCAAACCTCTATTGAACAAAACTTGCCAATAAAGCTCTGGGGTAGGGTTATTTTAGGGCTGCCATGGGTCAAAAATAATAGCAATAAATATTAAAGGCAATGTGTTGTTTGTTGAAGGAAAAATTCTAGTTTGGGAACAGCTTCTCATTTTTTCCAGCTTGGTCCTGATCCTGTCCTGACAAAATCCAAGAAATATTATTTTCAAACTGTCTGTCCACTTATCAAAAATTCAGTAATTTCAGTTCTTGGTTATTTCTGCTATTCCCCTGGAACACTATCTAATTGCACCATTTTGTTCAAATACTTATTTCACAGGTGTGAAAATGGTGCAGTTTTAGAAAAGTGCACCGAAACTCAAAATACCAAATGTCAAAGGAAAGGTAACTATCAATATCTATGACTTAGTAACAAAATTTAACTGATTTATCTAAACCTTTAGCCATGGTATTACTTGCTTTTATAATCTTTCTGGACTGGGAAGGTGACTTTGGAAGAGAAACCCACTGTTTGCTCCAGTCAGTGATCACAGGATTGTTACATATACACTGTAGAATTAATACAGTTTGACAACACTTTAATGCCATGGCTAAATGCAATGGAAACATGGGTGTTGTAGTTTTACAACCCTTCTCTGCCAAATAGTACTGGTGCCTTATCCAAACTCCAACTTCCATGATTCTACAGCACTAAGCCATAGCAGATATAGTGGTGTCAAACTGTATTAAGTCTACAGCAGGCATGGACAAATTTTGGTTCTCCAGGTGTTTTGGACTTCAATTCCCACAATTCCTAACTGCCTACTGCAGTGGTTCTCAACCTGGGGTCCCCAGATGTTTTTGGCGTTCAGCTCCCAGAAATCCTAACAGCTGGTAAACTGGCTGGGATTTCTGGGAGTTGTAGGCCAAAAACATCTGGGGACCCCAGGTTGAGAACCACTGGCCTACTGGCTGCTAAGAGTTGTCCAAAACACCTGGAGGTCGAAGTTTGCCTGGTCTGCTATGTAGATGCACTCAGAGATAGTGGCAGGATTTTTGGCATGTTGATTGTCATCCCAGCTGCAAATATAAGTAATGCACAACAGAATGCCTTGTAATCTAGAGAGGTTCAGCTTTGGGGATGAGAATAGGATGCATGACATGCTATAAACCAGCATGTGATTTAAACTAAAATCCTAGGCTAATCAAAAATTTGAGTTGCAATAGATTCAAGCAGTCATGCCAGTATGCTATTGGTTATATTCATTAAGACATTGTTGTATTTTAGGATATGTTTGCACTTGCATTCAATGTGTCTTCAATTTGCTCTGATTACAATACTTTACTATTTGGTGATTCTGGCTTCAAAATGTTTGGTGTCAAAACTGAATTTTACGAAATAGGAAAAATGCCTTGTTAGCTTTATCCATTTGGAAATTCTATTAATCATTAAACTTTACAATGTTCTTTTAAACAGAAAATGTACCATGGTATATGTGGGGAATTCCAATTATGATTGTGATTCCGATTGCGGTTGCCGTTCTTATATATTTTATATATAAGAGAAGTAAGTAGAGGTTACCTTTCTCGTATTCTCCTTCAATTTCCTATTTTTTCTGCTTTCAAAGGTGTATCATTTTGAGACTATCATTAATAATCTAAAGGTAAAAAAGAGTTGTCAGGTTACGTATGTGTATGTATTGTGACATTTGGTTGTTATGAGCACTTTGTAACTTTAATTTTTTATTCATTTTAGGAGGCTTTGGAAAAAAAAGTTAAGAAAGTTATCCCCCAACCTCCCTTGCAGTGTTAAATCTGGGTCAGCCTAAGGGCAGTTCCACACAGCCCTTTAACCTGGGAGCATTCACATTTTAACCTTCCAGGAGGTCAGAGAAACACTCACATCCTCTCCTCAAAACTCCTTAAAAACAGGGGGGAGTAAAATAACTTACCTGGCCACCATTAACCTGCTGTCAGAGCTTTGCTGGCATGTAGAAAAAATGTGCCAGGAGAAGGTGGGCAGGAGAGATTTTCCTCCTCCCCCTCTTCTCTTGGCGCATCATTTCTATGCACCAGGAGAGCTCCGGCAGCAGTTTAATGGTGGCTGAGTAAGTTACTTTACTGGAAAATGTGAGAGGGCTGTGTGGACAGCCTCATCAGAAGTACCAGAACTTCTAAGGGGAGGGGGGCATCCAGACAGCGGCTATATTGGATTCGACCCAGGTCATTCAGGATGATCCGGGTTTTTCCAGTATCAAATTAATTCAGCACAAAGCAGGGTTTTCCTGCTTTGTGCCATAACCATTCGCTTTTCCCTAAGATATCATCTGGACACCCAGGGAAAAACATGAGAGGGCGTGCACTTTTGGTGCTTTCTGGATGCGCCCTAAGATATAGCCTGGACTAAATACATCTATCTCCCTTCAGTTAAGCATAGAGGCAAGACTCCTACTATAAAACTAAAATTCTCAGGAGCATACAACTAGTAAGGTATAAATTACATGTTATGTTATTATCCAGTGATGCAGAATTCTAGGTCAACTTCTAACACACTATTCCTTTTATTCTGTTATTAATTCTAAATAGCTGTAAAACTACTCATTATAAGAATGTGTACATATACTCGCTCATAGCATATATTACCTATGTAGAGTTCATCTAAGTAGGTAAGTAGACATCATTTTAACTGCCTTGGCTCAATGTTGTGTAATCAGGGAAGCTGTAGTTTGGCAAGGTACCAGCACTCTTTGGCAGAAAAGTCCAAAGACCTTGTCAAACCGCAACTTTCATAAGCCATGGCAGTGAAAGTAGGGCATTAATTCTACAGCGTAGATTAGCCTACATTACCAATCCATAATTGCAACAGAGGATACCAGCCAATTTAAGAAGTCATTGTTAATATCAATTTGTATTTCCTTGTGACTTCAGGAAATAACTCAGGGGAATACACAATCCCACCTGGAGATGAGGAAAATGTGAGTATGATTTCTTTTTCGTATGAATGGCATTCGTGATGTAATTCCAACAAGATCATGAGCAAGGAAATAAAACCTATGGTTAATATAAGGCACATTTACACTGATGATTTTTATGTAGCTTGAAGTCGTCTTCAAACTGTGACAGCTAAATATGCAGGCTGCCAAAGTGTGCTACAATATGAATTAAAGGGTTTAAAGTACATCAAGCAAAGTCTCGGAAACATCCACATTAAACTGATTGAGCTTCAACGAGCCCTCAGTGTAAACCATATTGTTTCACATTTCAAAATTTGGGGCGGGGGCTAATAAAAATGCTTCAGGGTATAGTTGGTAGGGCTATGCAAAATTTTGTTTGTGCCTCATTCGTCATATCTATTTTATTAGATTCGTACATACAACGTAATATTAAGAAATGCGAGAGGCACCCACACAAAAAAACTTAAAATTCAAAACACTGACCTATGACTTTTCAGAAGAGTTATGTAGTTCTCGTAAATGGCTCTAGGTCTCCATTGTGGGTACCGCTTCTCCCTTCATAGGGCTGGGCTTGATTCCCCCAAATGACCCTGAAGAGAGATGTGCCCATAGACAATGCATGGAGGAGCTGACATTGCTTGTGCTTGAGATAGCTATTACAAAATGAACTGTGTTGGAAGATGCAATAAAACCAAACCACAATAGAAATTGGAGAATAATAATAATAATAATAATAATAATAATAATAATAATAATAATAACTTTATTTATATTCTTCTCTATCTCCCCAAAGGGACTCAGGGCAGATTCCAAACATAAAAGGCAAACATTCAGTGCCTGAATACCACAACAATACATCCATACTAACAATATTTAAACAACCCAACATATAAACATGAATTATAACTGCTTTTTATGGTTCAGGTTCAGCATCCCTTATGCAAAACTCTGAAATCTCAAACACTCCAAAATCTGGAATTGATAATAACACTTTTATTTTCTGATGGTTCGCTGTACACAAACTGTTTTAAAGCACAAAATCATTTATGCAAAAATTACCTTCCTGCTATGTGTATTAAATATATGCATCATAAATGAATTTTATTTTTAGACTTGTTCCCTCATTTCTAAAATAGAGATATTCCAAAATCTAAACTCATACAAAATCCAAGCACTTCAGGTAAGAACTACTTAAGCTGTAACTGTATCTCATATAATATACAGTTTCACTCTTTTGGAGTAAAATAATATAGGATAGAGAGACTTTTGCGTTTTCTTTAGAGTTTGCACCAAGACTGTGTGTCTTAAAGAATAATTACATGTTTAACTGTATGATTTCTCTCTTTTTTAAAAAAAATAATCTTGTCTTTTTAGGAAATGGAGCTCATGTATCCAGGTAAAATTATTACTTTTCTTATTTCAATGTGAGTAGAATTTGAGAGTATTTCATGGGATTTGGGAAGAAGTCTGAACATAATAACACTTCTATTTCACGTCACAATTGGATTGCCACCATATTTTTTACAAACTGTTCTTATGGGAAAGTAAAGTGCATCCGATAAGCTATTAAGGGATTTCCTAGATGTCACATGGCAGATGTTGGCCATTGTCTTCTGATTCAATGGAAAAGAAAATTTGAACCAAATCAATGAATTTGAATCAATGATTGAACCAAATCCCAATTCATTTCCATCTGTCCTCAGAAAGTTTATCATTTCAGAGAAAATTATTTCTTTACAGGAAGATGAAAAATCAGGGGTGGGAGTCACATCAAACAAGAGAATGGATGTTCAACTCAGCTTTTGGAAATTGGGTTGTCATACTTGAATTCACCAAGGTTTTGTATGGATAAAAAGTAGTGTTCTAGTTGTTGATGGATGCCACCTCCCATGAACCTAGCACAGTTAATGGTTCAACAACATCTAGAAATCCAAATATTGTTTCCTTGCACTAACTACTGCATAGAAAATCCAGCAGTTCCTCCCATCATTAAACACAGTGAGGATTAAAAATGTACCTGACAAAGCTTTTGAAACTACATTATTTTTTAAAGGTGTATCGTTTTGAGAACATTATTATTAATTTAAACGTAAAAAAAGAGTTGTCAGGTTACAGGTGTGTGTGTATAGTGACATTTGGTTGTTATGAGCACTTTATAACTTTAATTTTGTATTCATTTTTAGGAGGCTTTGGAAAAAAGGTTAAGAAAGATATCTTCCAACCTCCTTTGCAGTGTTAAATTTGGGTCAGCCTAAGGGCAGTTCCACATAGCCCTTTAACCTGGGAGCATTCACATTTTAAAAACGCAATTCTGCCCAGGTTCTAAATCCACAAATGCCTCCCAAAACACATGCTTTTCAGTGGGAGGTGTCCACATGCCCTTCCAGAACCTTCCAGGAGGTCAGGGAAACACTCACATTCCCTCCTCAAAACTCCTTAAAAACAGGAGGGAGTAAAATAACTTACCTGGCCGCCACTAACCTGTTGTCAGAGATCTTCTAGCATTTAGAAATGATGTGCCAGGAGAAGGTGGGCAGGAGAGATTTTCCTCCTTCTCCCTCCTCTTCTGGCGCATCATTTCTATGCACCAGGAGAGCTCCGGCAGCAGTTTAATGGTGGCTGTGTAAGTTACTTTACTTTGCCCCTCATTTTTTTAGGGTATTTGGGGAGTGGGTTATAGCCCTCTCATATTTTCCAGACTGATCAGCCTGGAAAATGTGACAGAGCTGTGCGGACAGTCCCGTCAGAAGTACCAGAACTTCTGAGGGGGGCGTCCAGACAGTGGCCATATTGGATTTGACCATTTTCAGGATGATCCAAGTCTTTCCAGTATCAAATTAATTTTGCACAAAGCAGGGTTTTGCTGCTTTGTGCCATAACCATTCGTTTTTCCCTGAGATATCATCTGAACACCCAAGGGAAAACATGAGAGGGTGTACATTTTTTGTGCTTTCTGGATGCACCCTAAGATATAGCCTGGACTAAATACATCTATCTCCTTTCAGTTAAGCACAGAGGTCAGACTTCTACTATAAAACTAAAATTCTCAGGAGCATACAACCAATAAGGCATAAATTACGTGTTATGTTATTATTCAGTGGTGCAGAAGTCTAGGTCAACTTCTAACACACTATTCCTTTTATTCTGTTATTAATTCTAAATAGCTGTAAAACTACTCATTATAAGAATGTGTAAATATACTCGCTCATAGCATATATTACCTATGTAGAGTTCATCTAAGTAGGTAAGTAGACATCATTTTAACTGCCTTGGCTCAATGTTGTGTAATCAGGGAAGCTGTAGTTTGGCAAGGTACCAGCACTCTTTGGCAGAAAAGTCCAAAGACCTTGTCAAACCGCAACTTTCATAAGCCATGGCAGTGAAAGTAGGGCATTAATTCTACAGCGTAGATTAGCCTACATTACCAATCCATAATTGCAACAGAGGATACCAGCCAATTTAAGAAGTCATTGTTAATATCAATTTGTATTTCCTTGTGACTTCAGGAAATAACTCAGGGGAATACACAATCCCACCTGGAGATGAGGAAAATGTGAGTATGATTTCTTTTTCGTATGAATGGCATTCGTGATGTAATTCCAACAAGATCATGAGGAAGGAAATAAAACCTATGGTTAATATAAGGCACATTTACACTGATGATTTCATGTAGCTTGAAATTGACTTCAAACGGTCACAACTAAATATGCAGGCTGCCAAAGTGTGCTACAATATGAATTAAAGGGTTTAAAGTACATCAAGCAAAGTCTCGGAAACATCCACATTAAACTGATTGAGCTTCAACGAGCCCTCATTGTAAACCATATTGCTTCACATTTTAAAATTTGGGGCGGGGGCTAATAAAAACGCTTCAGGGTATAGTTGGTAGGGCTATGCAAAATTTTGTTTGTGCCTCATTTGTCATATCTATTTTATTAGATTCATGCATACAACACGATATTAAGAAAAGCGAAAGGTGCCCACACAAAAAAACTTAAAATTCAAAACACTGACCTATGACTTTTCAGAAGAGTTATGTAGTTCTAGTAAATGGCTCCGGGTCTCCATCATGGGCACCGCTTCTCCCCCCATAGGGCTGGGCTTGGTTCCCCCAAATGGCCCTGAAGAGGATGTTGAGGCCAGAGTGGAGGGAGAAGCACCGCTCTTTCCCCAAAGGGGGAAGCTAGGGGGATACGGGGAGGGGGGGGATGCCTGGCTGGATGACCAGACAAAGTAGAAGCATATGACCAGCTCAGGAAGAGTCAGACAAGACCATCACATTGAGGCTTTAACACAGAAAGCGAGCAGAATTCTGGGAGGTGTAGTTTAGGGTGGGGGCTTTTGAATTCTCTGCCACAGGGGTCCATACTGCATTTGCTTACAGCCTTATGCCTCTTCCTCCCTGAAAGTTTTGGTGGGGGGGGGGGGAACCCATGTTCATTCTCTAGAGGGATTTTGAGACAAAAGGGGATTGTTGGGAGTTGAATCAATCCTCTGAAGTAGGCAAAGTTGAAAGACAGTAACTCCAAAGTGAGGAACCATTGTGCCAGCTGAAGTGTACCAAGTAGGTTTCCTATTATTGTTATTATTTCAAAGGCTGGATGGGCATCTGTTGGGGATGGTTTAACTGTGTTTTTCATGCCTGGCAGAAGAGGGTTGGAGTGGATGGTCCCTGGAGTTTTCCAGTGAAATAGTACTGTTAAGTTTATTCTGGTTAAAATTACCTAAAAATCAGTGGATGTGCAAATCTTTCTGAAACTTGGGGGAATGATGCCCTGGTTATGTTGTGTAATTGAAAATAGAAATTCAAGGAGATAACTCTTGTAGATTTTTTTTAAAAAAATGTTTTTCATAATATCTTTTTAAAATTTCCAAATATCAGTAGAGGTGTGAAATGTTCTGAAACTTGGGGGAGGGGAGTAACAGTGGTAAATGTGTTCTACCATTTTGGCAAGTTTTATCCTGGTAACTTTAAAAGTGAGGAAGAAAGGAGCCCCGAAAGTTTCCCCACTTGCACAATTACATAATGAAAAAGTAACAAAAATGTCGTTATATCATTATATTTATGATACGGACCCCTAACAATATTTTAGAAACACTTTAGAAACAATTTGGCACACACACACCCTAATTTAGTAATGAGTATTGAAACATTTTTTCAGTGATTGCACAGATATAATTGCTGAGCAGCAGGGGGTTAATAAGCTAATTGTCAATCTAATCATACACAAAGCAAAATTGGTTTCTCCCAAACCAGTTCCAGAATGATCTAAGAGTGGTCACACTATAGATGTGCCCATAGACAATGCATGCAGGAGCTGACATTGCTTGTGCTTGAGATAGCTATTACAACATGAACTGTGTTGGAAGATGCAATAAAACCAAACCACAAAAAGCTTTAATATAATAATAATAATAATAATAATAATAACAATAATAACTTTATATTCTGCTCTATCTCCCCAAAGGGACTCAGGGCGGATTCCAAACATAAAAGGCAAACATTCAATGCCTGAATACCACAACAATACATCCATACTAACAATATTTAAACAACCCAACATACAAACATGAATTATAACTGCTTTTTATGGTTCAGGTTCAGCATCCCTTATGCAAAATTCTGAAATCTCAAACACTCCAAAATCTGGAATTGATAATAACACTTTTATTTTCTGATGGATCACTGTACACAAACTTTTTTTAAGCACAAAATCATTTATGCAAAAATTTCCTTCTTGCTACGTATATTAAGCATATGCATCATAAATGAATTTTATGTTTAGACTTGTTCTCTCATGTCCAAAATATTTCATTATGCATGTATATGCAAATAGAGATATTCCAAAATCTAAACTCATACAAAATCCAAACACTTCAGATCAGGACTACTTAATCTGTAGCTGTATCTCATATAATATACAGTTTCACTCTTTTGGAGTAAAATAATATAGGATAGAGAGACTTTTGCATTTTCTTTAGAGTTTGCACCAAGACTGTGTGTCTTAAAGAATAATTACATGTTTAACTGTATGATTTCTCTTTTTTTTTAAAAAAAAAACCCATCATGTCTTTTTAGGAAATGAAGCTCATGTATCCAGGTAAAATTATTACTTTTCTTATTTCAATGTGAGTGTATTTCATGGGATTTGGGAAGAGGTCTGACATGATAACACTTCTGTTTCACATCACAATTGGATTGCCACCATATTTTTTGCAAACTGTTAATATGGGAAAGTAAAGTGTATCCAATAATCTATTAAGTGGGATTTCCTAGGTGTCATATGGCAGATGTTGGCCATTTCAGAGATATTTATTTATTTATTTACAGTATTTATATTCCGCCCTTCTCACCCCACAGGGGACTCAGGGCGGATTACAATGTACATATACGTGGCAAACATTCAATGCCATAGACAAACAACATATATAGACAGACACTCAGAGGCTTATTTAACAATCCAGCTTTTTTCATGAGGATATTCTGGCCTTCATGAGGGTATTCTGGCCACCAGGGGAGCTGTCACTTCACCGTCCATTTGTGACACTGATGAAGTACTTCCTCATTCTTTGCATGATTGCTGGAGATATTTATGGCTTCATAAATTTAATTAGAAAATTATTTCTTTACAGGAAGATGAAAAATCAGGGGTGGGAGTCACATCAAACAAGAGAATGGATGTTCAACTCAGCTTTTGGAAATTGGGTTGTCATACTTGAATTCACCAAGGTTTTGTATGGATAAAAAGTAGTGTTCTAGTTGTTGATGGATGCCACCTCCCATGAACCTAGCACAGTTAATGGTTCAACAACATCTAGAAATCCAAATATTGTTTCCTTGCACTAACTACTGCATAGAAAATCCAGCAGTTCCTCCCATCATTAAACGCAGTAAGGATTCAAAATGTACCTGACAAAGCTTTTGAAACTACCTTATTTTTTTAAAGTGCCATTGATTGCAAAATGTACACAAATATTGGCACCACCAACAGAAAAAAAAGTTTTGTTTATATGCAAAAAGCATCCATAATTCTAAAGTGCTCCCCATTTTTAGAGATGTTTCTGTGGAGAAAGGTGTGGCTAGGGGCAGTTCCACACAGCCCTTTCACCCGGGAGTTATCGGGTCTTAAAAACGCAATTGCACCTGGGTTAAAGTCCACGCACACCCAAGAAAGTGCATGCTTTTCTGTGTGGGAGGTGTACACATGCCCTGCAGGACACCTGGATACAAAACAAAAACCCCCAGAAAAGCCTTAAAAAGAAAATAACTTACCCGGCCAGCATTTCCCTGCTGCCAGATCTCTCCTGCCGTGTAGAAATGATGTGCCAGGAGAAGAGGGGTAGGAGCTTTTTTTCCTTCCCCCATCCCTTCCCCTGGAGTGTCATTTCTACATGTCAGGTAAGTTATTTTCTTTTTAAAAAACACTTTTCAGCGGGGGTTAGGAGCAGTGGGGGCTGTCTTGGGTTTGTTGGGCTTCTAGGAGCTGAAGAAACCCAAAACAGCTGTGTGAATAGGCACCGGAAGTCATGCGATGCGATCCCCGATCCCCATTTGCACAGCACCTGTAGGTGGAAAAACCCAGGTTGTCTGAAAGACTTGGGTCTTTCCAGGTGTCAAATTAATTCAGAACAAAGCAGGATTTTCTTGTTTTGTGCCAAACACATTTGTTTTTACATAGAGTGTCATTTGGATGCCCAATGTGATCTTCCGGGGAGGCCCTGCTCTCGATCCCGCCTGCTTCACAAGCACGGCTGGCGGGGACGAGAGATAGGGCCTTCTCGGTGGTGGCTCCTCGGCTGTGGAACACCCTTCCCGTGGACATTAGACTGGCTCCTTCCCTGATGATATTCCGCAGGAAATTAAAGACTTGGTTGTTCAAGAAGGCGTTCGAACAAGAAGTGCAATGATTGGTAATGACTATAGGAATGGAACAACGGAAAATGATACTGGATTGTGGTTTGGACGATGAGACGATGCGGAATGGTTTTCGTAGTAATGAAGATGTTTGTTTGTTTTTTGTATAATGCTGGATTGTGAATTATTTTATACTGTGTCTTGAATTGTGTTCTCCCTATGTTGTACACCGCTGTGAGTCGCCCCCGGGCTGAGAACAGCGGTATATAAGCAAAGTAAATAAATAAATAAACACTCAAGAGCTCGCACTTTTAAGAGGTTGTCTGGATATGCCCTTAGAAGAAAAGAAATAGGGTATGCATAGCTGGTAGCTTATCATGATGAACACTGCATGAATTTTATTTTGTTTTGTTTTTTTAATTTCTAGATATGGACTTGACCCCTTGGATTCCTGACATTGCAGAGGAGATGAAACTAGAGGAAGTCATGCAGTTTGTTCGAAAATTGCGTGTATCCAGCATTCGCATAGATGCAGTCATAAATAATAATAACAACGATGTCACCGAGCAGAAAATAAAATTATTAGAATGCTGGTATCAAGAGACAGGCATAAAAGGTGCCTTTAAGACTCTAATCACCACCCTGAATAGACTTGGTTTTTGTGCTATTGCTGATAGGATTCAACAAAAAATAAAGCCTGAGACAATTAATAGCCCAGCTATTCATGGGAATAACTAATATTTCTCTTGAAGTTTCATGGCTGTAATTTGAATTCATTTTCAAGAAATAGGCCTGACATTTTCAACATTTTTACCCAACACTCTATACAAAACAAAAAATTCAAAAATACATGGTGGATGGAGCCATCAAGGAATTAAAGATGTCATACTACAAAGGCAAATATGTGCATATGGGCATACATGTCTTGATTTAAAAGAGATTAAAAACAAACAAACAAATGGACCAATGTGGCTGTAGAGTAAGATGTAGCTGACTGTGGTCCATAGGTTAACTCCTGCAGGAAAGTGAAAGAAAGAAATGTCAGAGTAGTGTTGGTAGCCTGCAGAATGTCTCAGGCCCTTTTACACTCAGTGTGATAAAAACTAAAAAATAACGCATGAGTCTGTTGCTTTAGAGTACTTTTGCTGTGCTGGGCATACTGGCGCATACTAGTGCATTCTGGGCCCATAACCAATGTCAGAGTAGCATTAGCAGCCCACAGTATAAGGAAAGGGTGGGAAATACAACAGCTACTGGTAAAGTAAAAAAAAGTACCAATAAAATTACATTAATTGAGGCATCAGTAGGTTAAATATTTTTGAATATTTACATAAAACTGTAATTTAAGATAACAGTAATAAGACTTTAATAAGATAAGACTGTCCAAAAGCCAAGCGGAATATAAGCCGGCCAGAACCCTCATTTGAGTATAAGTCAGGAGCTTTTTCAGCCTTAAAGAAAGGGCTGAAAACCTCAACTTATACTTGAGTATATATGATAACAGTAAGAATAATTGTGCCAAAGCAGCAGATGCCAGGGCTAGATTTGCCAAGTCAGGGGTGTCTCGGGACCTGATATTTTGGGTCCAAAACCCAAGACCTAGACAAGTAGACATACTGTTGTGGCTCAGCTTGATTTTGGGCCTGAAACTGAACCCTTTTGTGATGAAACTGAACCCTCTTGTGAGCCTGAAATGTTCCCTGATGAAGAGGATGATGGGATTCAGATTTCTGGGCCTGTTCCTATACCTTTTTCTGTGCCTCTTTCAGACAGTGCACCAGAGGAGTCAACAAGTCAGTTCTCATGGGAAAAGAATGCCAGAGAATTAGATAATGACCAGGTGCAGAGGCCTTCACTTGCTCAGCCTTCTCATGCTGATACTGATGGAGAAGAGAGCCTTGATAGTGATTTAATGAGCAGGCAGGAACATTTAGGTTGGCGGGTCAGGAGGAGTTCGCGGTTAGCCAGCAAGAAAGAAGCCAGGTCGGTGAAAGGTCACTGTAATGCTTTCATGTTAGCAAAAGTGTATGTTTTCATGTTGGCAAAAGGTATTTAGGCTTCTGGTTAACAAGGGGAAGGTGTCAGTTCAACATGGCTTTTAGCATGAAAGCTTCTATGGAATAACCTTGGCTCTAAAGCAGCACGCTTTGGGCTTCCTGAATCGTGCTTACATTGCATTGCTTACTCTATGTTTTGACTGGGATTTTTCCTCAATAAACTACAAAATCTACAGCTCTTGTGTGGTGGTATTTGGGAGCAAGGTGAAGCCTACTCTGAGTTGCAACACATACCCTCTTATGATGTCAGAGGGGGCAGGCCCTGGTTTATGACAAATTAAAAAAGACAAACGAATGAGGAAAATATATTTCCACGTTTTTCAAGGCAGTGTCCACACCCTGAATTCTACCATTTCACCTGAGGTGAGCTAAGGGGACCCAGAAACTGAGTCTCAGGGATAAATATCTGGGAAACCTATGAATGAGATACATCCACTACTAATGAGATATAGGAAGAAAGGTGGGATAAACATATTTTTTTCAAAAAATGAAAGAAAATATCAATTATGAAATGTTTAGCATAAATCCGTTAATTGTCCAAGGAATTATTGTCCTATGGATTTTCAAAAAGCAACTGCTGGAAAGATATTGTCATGGCACAGTGGCCAGACACTTGGGCCACACTGACTTATAGCCTACTTGTGAGCATTCCATGAATCACTGGTTGTCTGTTGTATGAACATGTAAATATTGTAAATTACTCTCTGTTCAGACTGTAAATGGGTACATAAACTTTTTTATTTAAAAAATGAGGTGTCGTAATCATTTTGTATTCTCTTCTCACCAAGGAGTCGGCCTTTAAAATTATTCTTGAAATGCCTCACTGTTGAGGGAATTAAATAGATATCTTGATTCTAAACCAGGCATGGGCAAACTTTGGCCTTCCAGGTGTTTTGGACTTCAACTCTCACAATTCTTAACAGCCGGTTGTTAGGAATTGTGAGAACTGAAGTCCAAAACACCTGGAGGGCAAAGGTTTTCCCATGCCTGTTCTAAACATGTCAATACTATAATTTTTCCCTTCTGTTCATTTATGGATAGATGTCCATAGTAGTGGGAGATTTGATGTCTGGGGACATAGCTGTGTTTATAACAGGTGCATAGATCACATTTCGATTGCCAATCTGGTGTGAAGGCTTTGGATATGTTTCTATAGACCTTATCCTGCACTAAATTTTCCCTGTTTTCTCATTCTGCCATTATGGTGGCCAATGGATGTCTTCCCATGGTTATATGCAGTAACTTTCATTTTGGTACACACACACAGAGTTTTTGAAAAACCACAAATTGTGGTTTTTGTGCAAAAAGCATGAATGTTTCTTGAAACAATTTTTGCATGAAAATGTTTTTTTGCACTCAAAGAAATGTGCACTGTTTCTAAAAACACACTGTATTAAACAAAACCCACACATTTTGTGCTTAAAAACCCCATGTCTTCACAGAATAATTTTATGGAACACATTGGAATGTATCAATATTGGGCAAAAACATGTGCAAAGTTCTCATACCTATGTTACTTTTCTCATACCTGTGTTACATTACCCATGGAAACAAACAATAGTGGGGATATATACCCATGAAATCATGGAAATCAACTTATAAAAGAACTAAGCTCTTTAAGTACAATATTTGGTTTTGGACACCCAAGAAAGATGCAATAATTTTAATGATGTAATTCCTACCCAAAAATCCTTCCAGAAAATCTTTTTAATGATATACTTTAAGAATCTTCCAAATCAATGGTTCCCAATCTTTTTTGACCAGGGATCACTCTCCAGCATTAGTACCAAAAGGGTTGCAAATCGGTTTTTGGTCAGCTTTAGATCTGGTTTTGTTATTTAGGGTACTGATTCAGAAAATGGCATTGGATAGACTACATCAGTTTCTGAGTCAGAACATATGCCATCTAGTAGTTGCCATCTGCTTGCCCATAGAAAACCATTATAAGAGGGTTTTGAGAGACCCTCTTATTGCAATGGTGTAGTGACAGACTATATTTAAGTTCTTGTGGACCTCTGGTGGTCCATGGACCACAGGTTGGGAATCTCTGTTCTAAATTATGCACATTTCTTTGCAGTCATAGATCAATTGTGTTTTTAGAGCAATTTCTCTATACTCTGGTGAGAATTCTTGGATCCCCCATTAATTGAAGTATATTTCAATAGTGAACAGCATAATGCTGATTTATTTTAGTGTTTGAGTAGCTCAGTATCAACTCCAATGTTTAAAAAATCACTTTTAGAACACTATCTGAATGTCAGGAATATATGTCGCGAAGAAGCTTGTGAACATTTTTAATGGAGGAACAAGTACCAAGTAGCGCTCTCTCTCTCTCTCTCTCTCTATATATATATATATAGCTTAATATTTATTTATTTAGATTTCTCTCCCTATAAAGTGTACACAGTATTTCCCTCTGGTGACAAGCCATGGAGTCAATTGGCCTTGACATGAGAGTGGTTTGAAGAAAGAATCGTACTGTTTGCAGTGCAATCTTAACACAGAAGGGAATTTCCTGGCCAAGTACTGCTATTAAAACAGTTTCTAAAAAAAAGTTATCAGGAATGAGTCATTCCCTTAGAACAACGTGGTTTAGAAAGAAGCAGGTCTGTTTCACATGGCATGAATGAATAAGTTTTCCACATAGCACTTTAATGAAAGGGGGAAAGAAGTTGAAACATTAGTGCTCATCTGTAATAACAGACCTCCTCCCTATTTTTCATTGTTATAGATCAGGCATGGGCAAACTTTGGCTCTCCAGGTATTTTGGACTTCAACTCCCACAATTACTAACAACTGGAGGGACATTAGGAATTGTGGGAGTTGGAGTCCAAAACACCTGGAGGGCCGAAGTTTGCCCATGCCTGTTATAGATGCTACAGTGCAGTGATTTACAAAAATACAGTTGTGTGATTCATGATCCTCATGAAGTCATTGTGGTTTTTCCCCCCGGTGAAATACTTTTGTTTGCAGAGCTCTTTTAAAAAGAAAAGCTGCTTTGCCACTTCATCATCTAACTCCAAGCCGCACTGTTCTTTGAGGAGGGGAAAGCCCATGTTGCAACATGCCACTAGTACAATATTGACCAAATAAAGTACGCATAAAATAAAAGGAAATATTTTTCATCCATTATCTCATAGAATTTGACATCTTATTGGCAGAAGAATCAGGACTACAAAAATGACATGATGTCACACGATACTTAATTAACTCAGGTGACCTCCAGGTTCCCACAAGATAGTAACCAAAGTAGACAAGATTGCATGAGATTGTTGCCAAATATATAAAGCCCTTCAGAGCTTGGGATTATTTACTACTATATTTATATCCTGCCCTTCTCACCCCAACAGGGAGATTCAAAGTGGTCTCACAAAAAGGCCGCAATTCGATGTTTTGCACATACAGGGTATAGGGCACTAGCAAGAATGAAAGAAAATCCTTCCCTTCTTCAAATTTTTCACCCAGATGTTATTTAGCAGCAATGTCAAGAGCTTCTATTAAAAGGACTATAAGCCTAGGAAAAAACAAAATTTTGAAAGAATTTCAGGTTTGGAGGACGGCGTTTTTTTCTGGAAAATTTGAGGTTTTCCTAATCCAGCAGGTCAGGAAAATGTAAATTTTGGACCTGGCAAAAAAAACCCCACCAATTTTTAGAAATGCTTCATGTCTTAGGAACATTGCCTTTTCTGGAAGAATTAAGGTTTTTCCAAACCCGGAGGGTCAGGAAAATCTAAAATATGGAAGTATTTCAGGTTTGGAGGATGCCTTTCTTTATGGAAAATCTGAAAAATCCAAATTTTGGAAGTGTTTCAGGTTTGGAGGACGTCACCTTTTCTGGAAAAATTGAAGTTTTTCTAATTCAGCGGGTCAGTAAAATCTAAAGTTTGGACCAGGTGGGTTAGAAAAATCCAAATTTTGGAAGGGTTTTGGGTTTTGGGAATGTCACCTTTTCTGGAAAATTTGAGGTTTTTCTTAACCTGGAAAGTCAGAAAATCCAAATGACGGAAGTGTTTCAGGTTTAGAGGACACCGTCCTTTTTTGAAAATTTGAGGTTTTTCCTAACCTGGTGGGTCAGAAAAATCCAAATTTTGGAAATGTTTCAGGTTTGGAGGACATCACCACTTTCTGGAAAATTTGAGGTTTTCCTAATTTAGTGGGTCATAAAATCTAAAGTTTGGACCCGGTGAGTCAGTGTTTCAAGTTTTGTGAACGTCACCTTTTCTGGAAATTTTGAGGTTTTTCCCAACCTGGAAAGTCAAGCAAATCCAAACAATGGAAGTGTTTCAGGTTTAGAGGACACCGTCCTTTCTGGAAAACTTGAGGTTCTTCGTAACCCAGCGGGTCAGAAAAATCCAAATTTTGGAAGTGTTTCAGGTTTTGGGAATATCTACTTTTCTAGACAATTTGAGATTTTTCCTAACCTGGCAGGTCAGAAAAATCAAAAATTTGGAAGTGTTTCAAGTTTTGGGAACATCGCCTTTTCTGGAAAATTTGAGGTTTTTCTTAACCTGGAAGGTCAGGAAAATCCAAATTATGGATGTATTTCAGGTTTGTAGGACACCATCCTTTCTGGAAAATTCAAGGTTTTTCCTAAGGCAGCAGGTCAGAAAAATCCAAATTTTGGAAGTATTTCAGGTTTGGAGTATGTTGCCATTTCTGGAAAATTTGAAGTTTTCAATATACCTCACGTGTCAGCCTCAAGGCCCATGGGCCAAATGCGACCCATGCTATGTACCCCTCCTATTGCTGGACTGCAACTCCTCATCATTACACATAATGACTAGAGTTCTGATACAGTAACATCTGGTAGGCTACAGTTAGTTCTATTTAGTCAGGATAGTGGGGCTTGAATGTATATACAAGATTTGCAGACATTATATCTGATGTTAAAATGTCATTTGACTTTTCCTCAAACTCAGAGCCACCAGTGCCTTTGAGTTGCAATCCCCAGTTTCCATAATAAAAAGTGATGGGAATTCTCATTCAATAAAATTTGTGGCCCTAAATTTTGTAAAAACTAATGAGCCCTGACAACTATGTAAAAATAATAGTTGCCTCTATATCTACAGATTCAATGGTTCTTGATGGCAGCCATTGATGAAAATGATTTTGACACCCCTGAAATATACAGTTCTCAATTGAAGGTATTTCCTTATACTTTGATCTTTGAACATATACTAACCTAGCCATTGTTGACATATATTGAATTAACATATCATATTAACTTGAATTACATAGCCAAAAGTGAGGCCCGCATTAGATTTGATGGCGCATTAGGACTGCCCAAATAAATCTGCCTGCACCCCAGGCTGAGCGTGGTGGTGGGGTAGGTCTTCCTAACTAAGGCCTCATTCTACGTTTTGAAGGCCTTGTGAATTAGGTCTTACTTGAAAAGCCACCAGGTCAAGTCTGGTGAATTCACGAGTCTTAGCCTGGTGAAGAGGACCGGCTTTCCCTTTCCTGTTGGCTGTTCCAAGGTAGGTTTCCAGAATGACCAACAGGCAAGGGGACACCGCACATTACATTCAACAACATTTTTTTGGCAATGCACACCTTCAAAATTGGGGTGAGCATTACAATAGATGGCACATTATACTCAAGTAAATATGGCAATTGAGATAATTCACTCTTACAGTTATATCGTAAACTATTCTCCAAAAACATAGCAATGTTCAGTGACGCTTAAGTGTCTTGTTGTCCTTCATAGAAGTGTCCACAAGATGTC